GGAAGGAAGGAAGGAAGGAAGGAAGGAAGGAAGGAAGGAAGGAAGGAAGGAAGGAAGGAAGGAAGGAAGGAAGGAAGGAAGTTCTGCATCAGTCCTGGATCCATTGAGACTTGGGCTCAAAGGAGAAAGCAATTTTATGTTCTGCTATGCCACAGACCAGACTTTGTTGGCAATCCAAGTTAACATTGGTATTCTTGAATTGTGAACTCTTAGGAAAGTATCACTTCACTGTGTGTTGCAAACAGCCATTTTCAGTAGGAAAAACAGAATAAAGCAGTAGGGAAAGGAGGTAAGCACAGCTAGGTAGCCCCTTAGGGAAGGCTGGGCTGGGCTTGATTGGGCTTGGTATTTGCCCTCCACTGCCCAGGGCTCTGGGCAGCCTGCGCTGTCATACGAGGGTCCTCCACATGGCCTGAGAGGAATGGCAAGACTCCTTTGGTGGACAAGGATTTGGTGCTCTTCCTGGTCTCACCTTCCTCTGCTGGAGACAATGGATCCTCCCAGCCCTACCTGTGCCACCACAGGAGGCCCCAGTCCCCAGCAACTTTGAGCTGGCCATACCCACCCCCTGAGGTCAACCACAACCCTGATGAAATTGAGTTTGATATCCCTGATGTATACTATACATGGAAAAAATTCCATATTCAATTACTGACACTTTCTATTATCCTTTTTTAAATCAATGAAATAGTAATGGATTTTTTGTACTGATCAGTTAAATCTTTTAGTGTAGAAATAATCATTGGTTGGGACCCCAACTTGATTTTTAAAGAAATAATTAGATATTGTATGTCGCCTAGTTTTATCTCAAGAAAAAAAGGGTGACAAACATTGTTCAGGAAATATTGGGAGTACTGTGGTCAGTTTGAGTTAATATAATCATAATATAATATAAAGAAGATGGTAAGATTTCAGAAAACAACAATAAAGCAGTATCTTGAATTTAGAAAATACATTATCTGCTGTAAATTTAAAGGAGCTGAAATTATTCATCTCAAAGAAAAGATGAGTGTAGCTTTTAAAGCTGAAATAGAAATTGGTTTCATCTGTTTAATTCAGATTATTAGTTTCTTTCCCCTGCTGGCAATCAGGGGAAAGTGTTTGCTTTAGTGTTTCCAAACAGGAGTTATTCATGTTTTTCCTGTGATACAAACATTGCAATTAACATTTGCGCTTAATTAACCATCATGCTCAAAAAGGCAATATATTTTATGCTGTGTCATTCAGATGAAAGATTTTAAAAATACTTAAATGAAATAATGTATAAAAATAAAATAAATGTAGAAAAACTAAGCATGTATGGAAAGTAGCTGTTAATTTTTGATGTGAATGCATAGCTATGCTACACCCAACTGAAAAAGATTCTCCAGCAATTACATTCCCAGGCTTTAGCACCAGTATTGATCTATGAATGAGACAGAATTTTACAGATTAACTTTTGGTTTGTTTCTTCTGAATAAATGAATAAATATGGCAGTATTTCATTTTTTCCTAGTTGGTTTGGTATTTTTCCTAGGTAGTTTGGTAATGTAATCAAAAGGACAGTTGCCAGTTATTTAATGCATTGTAGCTGTAAGCTTAACAATAGTTGCATTAGCACTTACAAGGTATTTCTCAACTTACAATAGTTCATTTAGTGACCATTTGAAGTTACAACAGCACTGACTTATGACTTACGTTTTTCATACCCTTAGAGCATGCTCGTAGTCACTTGATCAACATTCAGATGCTTGGCAACTGACTCATGGTTGCAGTGTCCCAGGGTCATGTGGTCACCTTTTATGACTTTCTGACAAGCAAAGTCAATGGGGAAGCCAGAATCACTTAACAACTGTTACTAATTTAACAACTACAGTGATTCACTGAACAATGGTGGTAAGAAAGGTTGTAAAATGGGGCAAAACACACTTAACACCTATCTTGTTTAGCTACAGAAATGTAAGTTGAGAACTAACTGTATTAACAGAGGATTATATTTTTCATCTTTCACGTGGGTTTCTTGAGAGGTAGAGAATTGAAAAAGCACTCCAGAAAGTGAGGAATGTGTTAAAAAGTTTCCAATTTTTGCACTTAATTCTGTCTCTAAAAAGACAGTTTCTCTTTAAATACTTTGATACAATTATTGTCCTTGCATCTAGCTAGCCCCAACATAACTACATACCAATATACATTGTATGGATAAATCTGATTGCTTGAAGGAGTAATGGGTGCTCCTATAAACATTGCTGAATTTATTAGCAATTGCAATATCACTTATATACCACTTCACAGTGCTTTACAGCTCTCTCTAAGTGGTTTACAGAGTTATTATTTCTTCCAACAATCTGGTTCTCGTTTTACCAATCTTGGAAGGATGGAAGGCTGAGTCAAACTTGAGCTGATTAGAATCGAATTCCTGGCTGTGAACAGAATTAGCCTGTAATACTGCATTCTAACCACTGTGCTGCCCTTGTTCCAACTAAGGTTGCAATATAATTAAATAATAATTTACATCTTTATACATTTTAAAACTTTTAAATTAATTATGTTTTATCAGTTACATTTGTACCAAATTGAAAAAGCATATTTAATTATTTTAAGTTATAAGATCAGATGCATTGAAAGAATTTGTGGCTCCAGTGAAATAATTGCTTCCCACTTGCTATATATCTATTTTGTTATATGATAACCTATAATCACTATGTTTTGTTGCAGCCATTGTTGACAGCTCAGCAGTTAGCCTCAGTTGTAGCTGGAGTGATGCCAGGTGCCCCTCCAGCACTGAATCAACCTATTCTGATTCCCTTCAACATGGCTGGACAATTGGGTGGTCAGCAAGGTCTTGTCCTGACTTTGCCTACTGCTAACCTCACCAACATCCAAGGGCTTGTAGCAGCAGCTGCAGCAGGAGGCATCATGACATTGCCACTGCAAAATCTGCAAGGTAAAAAATTATTGGATCTTCATCATATTGATTTGTTACCATGTAAACATCTGTAAATGCAAAACCATATCTTGAAAAGTTACATTCCTTGATGCAGATATACACTGCTCAAAAAAAATAAAGGGAACACAAAAATAAGACATCCCAGATCTGAATGAATGAAATACTCCTATGAATGAAATATTCCTTTGTTCACTACATAGTTGAATGTGCTGACAACAAAATCACACAAAATTATCAATGGAAATCAAATTTAGCAACCCATGGAGGTCTGGATTTGGAGTTACACTCAAAATTAAAGTGGAAAACAACACTACAAGCTGATCCAACTTTGATGTAATGTCCTTAAAACAAGTCAAAATGAGGCTCAGTAGTGTGTGTGGCCTCCACGTGCCTGTATGACCTACCTACAATGCCTGGGCATGCTCCTGATGAGGTGGTGGATGGTCTCCTCCCATACCTGGACTAAAGCATCCCCCAACTCCTGGACAGTCTGTGGTGCAACGTGGCGTTGGTGGATGGAGTGAGACATGATGTCCCAGATGTGCTCAATTGGATTCAGGTCTGGGGAACGGGCGGGCCAGTCCATAGCATCAATGCCTTCGTCTTGCAGGAACTGCTGACACACTCCAGCCACATGAGGTCTAGCATTGTCTTGCATTAGGAGGAACCCAGGGCCAACCGCACCAGCGTATGGTCTCACAAGGGGTCTGAGGATCTCATCTCGGTACCTAATGGCAGTCAGGCTACCTCTGGCGAGCACATGGAGGGCTGTGTGGCCCCCTAAAGAAATGCCACCCCCCACCATTACTGACCCACTGCCAAACCAGTCATGCTGGAGGATGTTGCAGGCAGCAGAACATTCTCCACGGCGTCTCCAGACCCTGTCACGTCTGTCACATGTGCTCAGTGTGAACCTGCTTTCACCTGTGAAGAGCACAGGGCACCAGTGGTGAATTTGCCAATCTTGGTGTTCTCTGGCAAATGCCAAACGTCCTGCATGGTGTTGGGCTATAAGCACAACCCCCACCTGTGATGTCAGGCCCTCATATCACCCTCATGGAGTCTGTTTCTGACCGTTTGAGCAGCCACATGCACATTTGTGGCCCGCTGGAGGTCATTTTGCAGGGCTCTGGCAGTGCTCTTTCTGTCCCTCCCTGCACAAAGGTGGAGGTAGCGGTCCTGATGCTGGGTTGTTGCCCTCCTACGGCCTCCTCCACGTCTCTTGATGTACTGGCCTGTCTCCTGGTAGCGCCTCCATGCTCTGGACACTACGCTGACAGACACAGCAAACCTTCTTGCCACAGCTCGCATTGATGTGCCATCCTGGATGAGCTGCATTACCTGAGCCACTTGTGTGGGTTGTAGACTCCGTCTCATGCTACCACTAGAGTGAAAGCACCGCCAGCATTCAAAAGTGATCAAACCATCAGCCAGAAAGCATAGGAACTGAGAAGTGATCTGTGGTCACCACCTGCAGAACCACTCCATTATTGGGGATGTCTTGCTAACTGCCTATGCTTTCCACCTGTTGTCTATTCCATTTGAACAACAGCATGTGAAATTGATTGTCAATCAGTGTTGTTACCTAAGTGGACAGTTTGATTTCACAAAAGTGTGATTGACTTGGAGTTACATTGTGTTGTTTAAGTGTTCCCTTTATTTATTTGTTTGAGCAGTGTAGTTATCTCTTTTGATATAGTTTATACTATTAAAAACCTGGATGGTAAAATTCATACCTGATTTAGTTCCTGTATGTATACTTATGTATGAACTTCAACCTTTGTCATCTTTGGCAATGACTGAACCAGCCAGAATTATGGTAATATGAAATCTAGTTTGCAGAAAGCATGTGTTACATAATGTGCTAATGTGTTAATGTGCATAATGTGGAATGATATTACTTGTTACACATTTATTTTATAATCAGATGGTGATGGGAGGAAATTGTGCAGATTTTTGAATAATTAATAAATATAATACAATGATTGGTATCAAGGCACTATGATTGGTTAATTTAGACATGCAAATTTCTTCTCCTAATGTATACTACAGTTAATGAAATAGTGTAATATACAGCAAGAATATTCAGTGGTGATCCAATGTTATTATGTATGGCTCGCATAATAGCATATGCATTTATACCCTATTTCTAAACCCGTAATGACTATGTCATATGCTAATAATGCAATAAATTATCTGTCTTCAAACAGATGAATTGGAAAATAAAAGTCTGTTAAAATCTATAAAGTGGGAACACTTATTATAATCGTTGTGTAAGGTACAAGCAGAGTTTAGATCAAAATATTTTTGTTAGAAAAGCAATCCCAGTCACTTTTCTGTCACTATACCCATAAATGATGTAATAGCTGCAGTCAAGACCATCAATGGGTCATCCAGTGACACTTAAGATTTCATTAGCCTTCCACTGAAATTGATTGAGGACTGATAAAAGACAATAGGAATAATATGTAATTGATTTATATAATTATAATGAATTGCCATATAATTTTTACTGGTTTAAGTAATCTTATAGCAGATTTTTAAGTAGAATTAAAAACACAGAAGATATTTCCAGCAGACAAGCATTTGTTAGAGAGATGATATTTCTTAGGTATCAGAAGATAGAGGTAATGGGAAGGCAAAATCTCCATGTCCTCCTGTCTATGAGCTCCCATCAATATCTATAAGCTGTTCCTGGAAACAATGTTGAGTTAGGTGTTGAGGATAGTGACAGTAATATAATAAAACCAAATATGATAAGAATTCTACAATTAGAATTAGTAACTAGCCCGGATACTGGGTGGGTGGGGGAATAATCTGCATAGAGCATTTCTCATGCAGAGCTTGAAACTCTGGATTTGGGCTTTAAATTACATCTTTTCTTTAAGAAAGTTTGCCTTTCTCTTTATCATGAAGGTTTCTTGCATTGAAAAAATAAAGTCTTGGTTAGAAGCTGCAACAAACATGTTTTATGTCATCACCAAATAAATTTCTTATGTTCAATCTTTTCCTTTCACTTTCTCTTGTTTTCTTTGTTTTTATCACAAATAGTATTCTCTTGAATATATTGAATACTATCTCTCCATCTTTCAAAATGTGCCTATCAAAAATGATTCTTTCCAATTGGGTTAAAAATATAAGCCTTGGAGGATTTTTTTACTCTCATACTTCTTACATATCAATTTACTATCTCCTTGTTTTTATATCTTTTAGATATTCTGTTTTTAATTGTGTATTCTGAGTTGAGCTGCTTATAAATGCAATAGACAACTGATAGATATTACAACAAAAATACACAATAGTATAACAAGTCCTTGTAAAATGATGCATCATTGAAATGTAAAAGCTCAATATTTAAACAATGACTGTTATTAAAAAAAGCTGTTGATTATTGTACTATTTTTGACATAAAAGTCATTAGTAGGAAACTTTCCTCCTTAGTCTTCTTTCTTGGCATATTCTTTTTACCACTGAGGAAATAAGAGCAGGAATTGTAATTACCAATCTATAGTATAATACAGGACATAAGATTCATTTTGACACATCTTCAGTTACTATTGAATTTCATATTTTCTATTTCCTAATGCATGCTTTGTAGCTATGTATTCCAAAACACAGTCTAGAAGAATATGTAATGGAAAAACATTGAAGTATGTGTGAAAGAATTAGATCCATCTCAAAACTTTCCATTTTGCATTTTTTGTATTTGTATATTTTGCTGATTTAAAGACAGGCAAAATTTTATCACAAATCAAATGGGAATGTTCTGACTAGCATTCTAAATACTTTTTAAGTCATTAAACTCCAGTTGTTTTGATAACTTGATGGATTGTTCGATGCACCAAAACTAAAAGGTTGCCATAGATTGAGAAAGGAAGACAACTAATGTGCTGACCTATCTACCAATTGCATGCATAATGCCCTCACCTGTTGGCTCAGTGGCTTGCCTTTACCTTGAGCAGATTTTAAACTTTAATGTCAATAAACCTTTCTTATCATAGTTGCAAATGGTTTTTTTCTTTAATGTTTAAAATAATGTTTTCCTCTCATACCATTACGCTGCACAGAAGAACCTGTCATTCATAAATCATAGATGAAAAGGACATACTAATGCACAAATTTTGCTTGTTTAAAATTTGAGAGTGCATGTAAAGTAGGGAATTTCAGATTAAAAAAAGAATGCAGGAAAAGGGTCATGATGAAAGAAAATGGAAGGAAGAGGCTTTTTAGTGTAGGTGGATGATAAAATCTTAATGAGGACATAGCCATTCTAAAAGTACAACTTTTGACTTCTTCAGGTTCCAGCTTATATTTACTGCAGGTATTGTATTATAAATAAAAATAAGACTTTATATATATAGTGTTGCAGGGTAGGCCCATATTACTATTATTAACAATAAAGTAAAAAATATTTGTTCAGCCTGTTCCACGGTAATTTAGGAATCCATGGAATAAATTCTTGAATGCCAAATACCACAATTAGTGGAAATGTCCATAATGGAAAATCATTTCCAATGTATTCATAGTAAGAATAAGAATTTTTCTACAAATTACATTGACTCTACAATATACAATGTGATCTTGTACTTTTTCTAGAAAGTTGCAATATCTCTTTTTATCAAGGGAATGAGAAAGCAGGAATATGGCAATATATTGTCAAAGTGCTGGAGTTTGTTCCAAGTCAGGAGGCATGAACACTTTACACAATGGAAGCAAATCTAATAAGACACTGGACTTCTGCCTATTTTGGTTGATGGGGAAATAAAAATGGAGCAGTTTTTTTTAATATTTTGATCTACTATACCTAATAAGGTGAAGTTCATGTAATGTTTGGGTGGAGGGATCATCATCTTATGTTTAATTACAAATGGAGAATAATTGAAGAAGGCACATTATCTACCATAATGTCTTGAGTACTCACTAGAATGGAAAGACAAGATATACTTGAGATACCTATGGAAATAATCAAAAAAGTTTGGCAATACTAATTTTAGAAG